AAATGATTGCATTTATTTTTTTTTCTATTTCTGATTCTGAATTTCTTAATTTTTAAGATGATTTTTGTAAAGGGTTAATTTCTATTATTAAACATACATTATTTCATCAATGTACACAAACTTGTAAGAAATATAATTGCAGCTCTATTTATCAGTATAGATTTGACTTCCCTAGAAAACTAGTAGATCCACCTGATATTATTTATTCAGAACAAGAAATTGTTACTATTCAATATACAAACATGTTTATTAATAACTACAATCTGTATATCACATTAGCTTGTTAAGGAAATAATAATATTAAGTTTATTTTTGCAAAAAAATTTGCTCTAGCATACTTTATTACATCACTAAATTAAACATAAATATTTATAGTTCTTTTTTAATGTATGCTACTACATTAGAAAATTTTTTAAAAAAAGCTTCTAATAAAAATTCACTTAGTATTATAGAATGATTATATAAACTTATTGTAAAATATCTTAACCAAATAGCAAAACAAATTAAATTTATGAGTTTACAAGTATCTGCTTATTTATTACAGATTAATGATCACTATACATTTAACAAATTTGCTTATATTCATTTACAGACTTTTAAAAACTACCTCATAAAAGAATAGTTAGAATATCAACACAGGTCTCATATATATTCAGAAGAAACTTTGTTAGATAAATTATATATGAATAATAAAGATGACAATGATCCAGACTTATTAGATAAAACTCTATTGATATTATCTTTTAATAATAAATTGACTGCAGCAAATCTTTGTATTGACTAATAATTTTGAAATATTTCTTTAAAAAATCATCTTAAAAATTAAGAAATTCAGAATCAGAAATAGAAAAAAAAATAAATGCAATCATTTTTTTGTATAGTTTTTGGGGTTTTATATTCATTTTTGAGTATTTAATCAGTTAAAGTCTTATTTTTATTAAAAAAATAGTTTATATCTTCTTTGATTATATCACTGATATATAACAATAAGCAGTAGCCAAAAGCTTTATTGATTCTGAGTTTTTGTTTTAATTTAATCAGATAAAGTAATCCATAAAGCTATACAAATAGATGGCAGTGTGGTGTATCACAATTTTGGTATTCTACTACACTGTAATAGTTTTTTACTAGTTTAAATATTCTACTAAATTGTTTACTATATCCAATTATAGTATCTAATATTGTTCTAATTACTACATCAAAGTATTTTGCAACAGCTGAAGAATTAAGATGTGCCAATCAAGCATGTTCTGTAGCAGATAAAAAATTTTCAGATGATATGTTATTAAAATCAATTTTTGTATTAGTATATATCATAACTATAAAGCTATATAAATCTGTGAGATTAATAGTTATAAATAAAAAAGTTGCACTATCTCTTATAGTG